TCAGGTGCTTTTCTTCTCTCTGGAGAAACGACCCTTTAAATGATTTTCATGTTTTTGTTCAACATTTCTGTAAAACTTTTCACTCCATGCAGCCACATGGTGGAGATTTAGGACTGCTAGGCCGTGCACATCACTCCTGTTTGACCACAGTGAGCGTCATAATCCGTGACCTCTGCGTAAGAAGATCTAAAAACGTTACAAAGTGTTAAATCTCAAAACTCAAAAAAAAAAGTTTGTCACAGAGGTGTTGACTGAAACTGAACTTGTCAGCAGGGTTGGAGTAACAATGCTCTAGAACACAAAAGAATCCTTTCCTGTCTGTGACATCATCGTCACAAGCCGAACACACGATAAATAAACGATGTAGACTCCTGTGAAGACACCGAGCCGCCACGTTAACACAATGGAGCCATTATGAGACGACAACAAGCCAGTCAAGTGTCGCTTTACTGGCTGTGAACAAAAGACGGACCAGTTTCATCACTGACTTTGGCACACAAACACAGACGCACACAAACACACATATGCACACACACTTTATAAACACACTTTATACACGCACACACATACTCACAAGCACACACACACACATGCACAAACACTTTATAAACACACACTTTATACACACACCCACACACACACACTCACATGCACACACATACTCACAAGCACACACACTTAATACACACACACACACACACACACACACACACATACACACACACACACACAGACACACACACATACACACACACACACAAACACTTTATAAACACACACTTTATACACACACAAATACACACACTTAATAAACACATACTTTGGGTGTTTTCGTAGCAGTGGCACTTTGTGGTGCAGTGGCACTTTGTGGTGCAGGGTGGCACTTTGTGGTGCAGGGGCACTTTATGGTGCAGTGGCACTTTGTGGTGCAGGGGCACTTTGTGGTGCAGGGCACTTTGTGGTACAGTGGTATTTTGTGGTGCAGGGGCGCTTTGTGGTGCAGTAACACTTTATGGTGCAGTAGTATTTTGTGGTGCAGGGGCACTTTGTGGTGCAGGGGCACTTTGTGGTACAGTGGTATTTTGTGGTGCAGGGGCGCTTTGTGGTGAAAGGGCACTTTGTGGTGCAGTGGTATTTTATGGTATTTTCCGAGGACAGGTTTTGGTGCAGGGGCAGGATGTTGTAATGTCGTGTTTACAGATCTCTGGTCCCAGCGCCTGAAGTGGAAGAGAAAATCATGACTCCAATGAAGTCTGTGGTGCTCTTTGTTTGTTTGTTTGCTTGCTTAGTTCCTGACCATTATAAAGTGGGATCAGGGTACCCAAAGGATTTATAGACATCAGAACTGTGTGATGACAGAGTCAAATGTTTTGTGTTATGTTATACTTACTGGGGTTTTGGGCTTAAAGACTCTATTGTTGGTTTCTTGTTGTGTCCGTGTCATTGATCCATACAGAACTCTATGAATGTTTGCAGAGTACTTCCTGAGAATCTACTGGAGAAATCCCTTCAGTCTGTATGCAAATCAAGCTTGTTAATTATTAGCGTTTTTTTCCTGAACTGAAATGTCAACAACAGTTCAGTTAACAGAGGCCTGAGTGTTTGTAGACTAACAACAGAATATCTTTCTCTTCTTAGGCTCGCTGGATTGACTCATCCATTCACACGCATTCACACACCGATGGTAGAGGCTGCTGCGTAAAGAGTCCATCGGTATTAACTCATCCATTCACAAGCATTCACACACCGATGGTAGAGGCTGCTGCGTAAAGAGTCCATCGGTATTAACTCATCCATTCACACGCATTCACACACCGATGGTAGAGGCTGCTGCGTAAAGAGTCCATCGGTATTAACTCATCCATTCACACGCATTCACACACCGATGGTAGAGGCTGCTGCGTAAAGAGTCCATCGGTATTAACTCATCCATTCACACGCATTCACACACCGATGGTAGAGGCTGCTGCGTAAAGAGTCCATCGGTATTAACTCATCCATTCACAAGCATTCACACACCGATGGTAGAGGCTGCTGCGTAAAGAGTCCATCGGTATTAACTCATCCATTCACACGCATTCACACACCGATGGTAGAGGCTGCTGCGTAAAGAGTCATTCCTTTAGTTTAGTTACAAGAAAACAAACATTTTCCAAAAAGAATACCAGAAACATAAATCAGTGTAAGAACCTTTATAATAGTTTAAGTGACTTTAATTTGTGCATCTTGGAGGAATTAAAAGTCCATGAAGTGAGATCAGATGTTTACCTGGGCAGGTGTGTGTGATCAACACTTCATGTCAGAATAGAGTGGGATTAATCTCTGGTTTCTGTTAAAGCAATAAACACAAGCACATCCTTTTTAACAAACTGACTGTAATGTTTTTCTTCTTTTCCATACTTTGGTTTTAATCAGCCTATCAATGTGTAGACCAGATTTAACAAATCAGATCAAAGGGGGTTGTAGAGCACTTCTACAAAGATCTTAATTTTACAAGCTTCATGAGGTCAAGGTTGACACAAGCTTTAGGTTACTCAGTTATTAAAAGTCAATAAAGTATTGTATTGTAAAGGTGGACTCATAGAAATGTTATCACAACATTCAAACTGGGCCCCTCCTCCTGGGCTCACCTCCCCCAGAAGCTCCGCCCCCTGCAGGACGTAGTGTGTAAATTTACTGCTTGTACCTACACTGCAAGCTAACGCACGCTAGCACAAGCTAACCTCTGGGGTTTGTCACCTGCCTGTCCAACAGGAAGCAGACCAACTCCACGTCCACGGGTAAAAGACAACACAAGGTTCACCCTCGTTTTAGAACGAGCTTTATCCGCTTGGTGTTTCTCCTCACTGTGATTATATTTTCTCTTCTTTGCTGCTACGTCCACGTCCGTCTTATTGATCGGTTTGAATGGCGTCCAATCACTGAATTGTATCCTCTCCTAAACTCACCTGCTGCGCTGTCATTGGCTGGAGGAAACACACCAGCTCCGCCCAGAAACGTCCAGAGTCAACCAGAACAAAGCAGAACAGTAAAATCCAGTCAGAGGACAGAGTCTCTGCAGACACAGTCACCACCACACATGTATGGAGGCCCAGAGGGGACGATGGAGCAGCTTCACTTTAGGAGAAGTCTGTATTTTATTTTGAAGGAGACAGATACTGACTCTGTCTTTATGTTCTCTGCCACAAGAAGAGAATCTGAAACTGTCGAGACTGACAAACTGTCAGTTTAACTGATGAAGGAAACAATGCAGGATGATTGTACAAAACTCTGTAAGAAGACAGTTTAGTTTAGAACAGAACTGTTTCCACTGACATAATGGTTAATGTGAACCGGAGACAGAGTGAAAGCTGCTCAGGTATTTAG